TTTATGGTGTTGAATGTTGGCCATTAAAAGAGAAGCATAATACTAAGTTAAGTGTTGCAGAGAAGAGGATGCTCAGGTGGATGAGTGGCTTTACCCTTAGAAATATGATACGAAATGAGCATATACGTGAAAAGGTTGGATTAGTGCTCAGGTGGATGAGTCGCCTTTGATGGTTTGGTCACATAAAACGGCGGACTTCTGATGACTCGACTAGCAAAATAGAGGTATTATATTTGACTTATGTTAAGAAAGGTAGAGGGTACCTTAAAAGACTTTGTTAGAAAATCTTGAAAATACTAGAATTTGACTTTAACAAGACACAATGGAGAAAAAGGATTCATGTAGCCGATCCACGTAGTGGGACAAATGTTGACTAAGGGGCATGCGGGGTGAATGCACACCAACTCATTTTGTATATTCTTTAGAATGCGCCAAATTATTTGACTTATTTGTTCCGTTTTAAATTTTAAAATTTACATGCTCCTACTGGTAATAAATTATACTATACATAATCCTCCAAAAAAAAAAAAAAATTAAATTTATCCTACCATAAATCACAGTAGAATGTTCTTACACATTCACGCTCGTGAGAAGCGTCTTAGTTGAGCAACCAAAGACTACAAACATCCATCACGAGCCGTAAACAGCTCGCATTTTGAACAGTCTACTTCCACAGTCAAAACTTCAAAACAACTACACCGACGACACAAAAGAGTAGCACTCACACCATCCCATCACCAATGCTCGCGGTTGATCTCTTCTTCTTTTCTAACAAATGCAAAGTTGTTCAAAATGATCCCTTGCTTGGTTTCAAAGCCTTCTCCTCTGCCAAAAATTATTCCAAACCTTCTTCGTAGGAGCGGCGATTAGAGATTCCACTCTTTTTAGCCCTTCTTTAAACGCAGAGAGAGGATTGACTATTAATTTTATAGAAGAGTTCATCAATTGTTTCTTCTCTCAAGCTACCGGTCATGCCGTTGTTGTCGTCGGCGTCGCAGTTCAGCGCTGTGGCTCATGTCCTCGGTCTCACCGCTGCTATTCTGGTTATTGTTTGGGTGGTGCATTACGGCGGTGGCGCTGACCTCAACTCCGAGAACACCGATCTCATTTTCAATGTAAATAACTTCATCTCAACTTTTCTTTTTTGGGGACTTCGATGAAATTAGATCACAGTTATTATTTGGATGTTTTGAATAAATGTTAGTTAGGTTAACGAGCATGACGCATAATATAAGGGAGTAATTAACCACAAATTTCTTTTAGTCCTTGAAAACCCTAATTGCTTAGCCTTTTATCTCGATCCGATTTTCAATGGCATCGAAGGCGAAAAATAAGATGGCAGAGAAGAAGCCGACGACGATTGAGAAGAAGCTTGTAGCAGAGAATGTTCTGCCCGATAAGAAGCACAAGGTGCGAAAGCGAATTCCACCCAAAGGAGGGCACAAGAAGAAGAAATCACTGGATAGTTACAAGATCTACATTTTGGTGTGCATTCAATCAATCTTATTTGATTTGATTTGTTATTTTGATTGCATCAATAAATTGATTCAGCCTATGAAAAAAACAAAGTATAACACCAAGGGGTTGGCAACAACATTTATTAGGATTTATGCTAAGGGATTCTACAACCAAAAAATTCATTTTCACTCCAAAATATAGCAACTCTTTAAAATTCTCTAATTTATCTCCAATCAAATTCCATTTTTAGCACAAAAATAAAAAAATAAAATTATATGTATATTCTTTATCAGCCAAGCTCTACGCAGAATTGCTCGCCTTTCTATGCTTTTGCCATTTCATGATTTAACCAAAAAAAAAAAAAAGTTTGTGAAGAGTGCTATGCCACGATGTTGAAGCGGACGACAAACACTTGTTTGTAACTCGGTTGGAGTTGGTCTAAATCCTGCCTAACGAGATTTAATCAACTGGTAGATGTCATGCCAGAATAAATCCTATGTTCCCTCTTTGTTCTATAAATTCCAATTCTACGAAATCTTGCAATTTGATGGATTTACGGGATTTGGCTGAAGAAAATCGTGAAAGGTAGAACAATAGTTACCTTCACAGCAAGCAAGCTCCCGTCGCAACGTCATATCTAATAGGAAGAACACAAACTTTTGTGAATTCCGATTCGATGGGAAGAAACATCATCGAAGGAGGTTAAGAAGACTTTAGCTACTTGTTCAAAACCCTACCTCAGGCAAAGCATACATAGTCCAACAACATCGACGAATGTAGAAGAGAAGAAAAAAGAAAGAACAAACGGTATGCAATTAATTTAAGTAATAATACATCATCAAAAAATTATCTTGATCGGGCATGAATCTCGATGCAAAATCAAGTTGGAAACATTCAAAATTAAAATTGGGACCATCTGAACTCCGATTTCAGCAAACATACAGTCAAAATGAAGGTATTAGAAATACAAACCCAACAACACCAACTTTGACTCAATCCGAGCCCAAATGAGACCAAATCAATGACCTGAAGCACTGTTGGAAGGTTCAAACCACAATTTGGATTACCAAACGGTTGGCCAAACATTACGTTCTTTTAGTCGAATCGAGAGGCTCGACGAGACAAATCCAACGAACTCAAGATCGCCAAATTCCGACATCATTAAAACCTTTAAATGTTTGACGAACGGTCCACGATCAAGGGATTCAATATCGGCAGTCCATCCAACCACTCCCCATTTACTCTTGATCTCTCACCTATTTATAGGTCATGCCACTCCATAAATCTATAAATAGACCCCTCCTTTCTCTAGAAAAAGGGGGATTGAAGCAAGAAGAGAGGAAGGAAGAAGAGAATGAAGAGAAGGAAGAAGCTCCTCCTCGACCACCACCGGTCTTTTATCGGACCACCACTAGAGGTCCTCACCATCGTCGCACCACCACCTGACGTCGTTGCTCCACCGGACCACCACCTGAGGCCCTGAGCTCTGCCAGACCATCACTTGAGGCCCTCACCTACGCTAGACCACCGCCTGATGTCGTTGCTCTGTCGGACCACCACATGAGGCCCTAAGCTCCGCTAGACCACCACCCTCACCTCCGCCGGACCACTACCTGACGTCGTTGCTCCCCGGACCACCACCTGAGGCCTTGAGCTCCGTCGGACCACCACCTGAGGCCCTGAGCTCCTATGGACCGGCCACCACTTGAGGCCCGGACTTCCGCCGGATCACCACCTGATGCTCGGACTTCTATCAGACCATCACCTGAGGCCCGTACTTTTGTCGAGCCACCACTTGATGCCTAGAGTTCTCCTGGAATATCTTCCTTCTATTGTGGTCTTTCAGACCCTCGTCTCCTACCAACTACGGTTCTTCTGACCTCTATCGCCTATAATGGTCATTCCGACCTCCATCACCAGACAATGGTATTTCAGACCCCGGTATCCTGCCAACTACGGTCTTTCAGACCCTGGTCTCTTGCCGACCTCCGTCGCCTACTATGGTCATTCCATCTCCATCACCAGGTTACGGTCTTTCAGACCCCGGTCTCCTGCCAACTACAGTCTTTCGAACCCATGGTCTTCTACCAACTATGGTCCTTCCGGCCTCCATCAACAGGCAACGATCTTTCTGACCGCGGTTTTCTGTATACTACGATCTTTCAGATCCCTGTCTCATGCCAACTATGGCTATTGCAACCAAACAAACATATCTATGTCTATTATTGTAACTCCCACCATGTAATGCGCTCTATATGATGTATATTTGTATCATCAAGCCAAGACCTTCTCCTAAGGAAGGGCCTCATTTGTAATTGATTGCAAATATTAATGGATTCATTCAAACTGGGTCAGACCCCATGATTTTTCCCCCTTTTCAGGGATTTCAACGTAAAAATTCTGGTCTCTTATGAACGCTAAACCCTCTCTCTTATCTGATTGTGTGCTGGATCTCTGTATAATGCTAAGATGTTAAACTATATATTTATCTACCGCCGCGGATACTCCAGGACACAACAAGTAATTTAGTTAATATAAATTAAAATTAAAAATTAATTAGATAATTAATAATATAAATAATAATTAAATAATTAATATTCTAAATAATAATTAAATAACTACTAAAAAAATAATAGTGGTTATATAATTAGTTAAATTATTAATATTTATAATTGCAATTTTGTAATTATGCTAGTTATTTTCGTTGCATGAATTAGTGGAACAATTAGTTACTATTTCTCTGCCATCTTATTTACACTTGACGACGGACTTCTAATGACTTGTAGCTTACTGTTTGGACTTGGGAAATTTTTTTAGAATTATTTCAGATCCGATAATATTCTCTTAATTGAAATTAATGTTAAATATATGATAATGATTTTTTTGTTTGTACAATTTAGCCTAAAAAATATTCATTTAGATGATATTTTGTTCGTTTTAATAAAATAAATATTTATTGTTTAACATAAGATTTTTCATTTAAAATTTTACTTTCAAAAATTTAAAAGTGAACCACCAAACATTATATATTTAGATCATAAATTCAGATCATAATAAAAAAAATTAATAGATTAATACGGCTATGATGTTACCTTTGCTCTAAATAGTGGATTGTAAATAAAATAATTGGGCATTATTTTTTAACAAATTAAATTAAAAAAATTCATTTCATTATCTATTTTTGACTACAACAATAATTTATTTTATACTAAACAATTTAGTATTTATAAGTTCAGCACCAGAATCCTTATCCGGAGGTTCTTCTTGTTGCAGGTGCACCCCTTAGTGATGACTTTGGGCTTCATTCTCGTTATAGGTGAAGGTAATAACTTAAGTTTTTTTTTTTTTTTTTTTTTTTTTTTTTTTTTTTTTTTTTTAATAGATATTTGGCAGCTTTCTAAATTAAATTTTTACTATAGAAAATAACAGTAAGAAAGCTATTTCAAATGTTTAGGCTTTGTTTGGTACGGCTTTTTTATTGTTTTCTAAAATGGAGTTTTAGTACAAAAATAAAAAATTTTGTACTAAAACTCAATTTTAGAAAGCAGTAAAAAAGCCGTCCCAAACGAAGCCTTAGTTTGGAACGTTTTTCTTACTACTTCTTAAAACAACTTTATAGTACAAATTTTTTACTTTTTTACTACAAAACTACTTTAAAAACAATAAAAAAGTCGTCATAAAGGAAGCCAAAATCTTAAGATGATCAATTTATTAGATCTTGACCTGCATTAGAGTTAGCTTACTGCTTATTCTTTTCAAAGTTTAATGATTTTGATAGCTAAGGGCATCTCCAACCGAACTCCAAACGCTTGAATATCGTCGCTCGCGAGCTCCAGCCGAATGGTAAAATTTTCGCTATTTGGTTGCGGGTGAACAGTGAGACGCCAATATTGGTGTTGAACTATATTCATCTCCGTTATTTCTCTGTCTTTACCGAACTTGTCGAAGAAACGCGCAAAAAAATACAACGACCGTTACCTTTGCAAAAGGGGGCAAAATGGAGTTCGATTGGAGATGAATCACCGGAGTTTTTTAGTTTCACGACATTTTGAAGTGAAAAATGAGATTTTCGATTGGACATGTCCGAATAACATATAAATTTGATTTTTTATGGTGTTTTTGAGTAGCAATAATGGCTTACAATACTGTACCGAGCCGGAAAACAGTGCAAAAGAGCATACACATGTTGCTGCATTTGCTGGCTCTGGTCCTCGGAGTACTCGGAATCTACGCAGCTTTCAAATTCCACAACGAGAGCCAAATACCGAACATGTATACTCTGCATTCGTGGCTTGGCATCTGTACCATTTGCTTGTTCGGTTTGCAGGTTCCTCCTCAATTATAATTATTCATATTTTTATTTATAATTAATTTTTGTCATGATTGCTTAGAGAGAGTAGTTTAGATGATTTGGCCACATAAAATATTAGCCTTCTCATAAACCGGTTAGGAGATAAATCTAAAAAGATTTAATTAAAAAATAACATAAATTATTCTCCCAAAAAAAAAATAAAAAAAAAATAACATAAATGACTTTTTAATTAAATTTATATGAGAATTCAACTCTTAGGATCTCTAGAACCGAATGACATTCAATTTTTACAGCTTCCACGAGCGTCCACACGAATGACAAAAGAAAACGTATTTTTGCCTTTTATCTCGGTTGTGAATAATGTGACGTTAATATTGACGTAGTACTATTTACAAAAAACATATTTTTTTGTGTAGAAAAATGAATGTTAGAAATAGAGATGAGGAAGAATATATGTAGAATATTTTTTTTATGGTGTTAGAAATGGAGTTTTGTTAGAGATGAATTAATGTTTGATATGAGTGTTATTCTATGATGCACGGACACGGACACAGCGACACGGATACGACACGACACGGACATGAGACACGTCAGTTATTGAAAATATAGGACACGGACACGGGTTGAACACGATATTATAGTTTTTATATTTAAAAAATAGTGTATAAAAATTAAATATGTATAATGTTAAAAATATTTTTTAATCGGACACATTTTCAGCGTGTCCGACACGTGTCGAAAGAGTGTCGGACGAGTGTCTTGTCGGATACGGTCTCGGACACTGCACGTCTCTTTGAGGAGAAGTGTCGGTGCATCATAGGTGTTATTGTATTTTGAAATGTAAGATAAAGACTTGTTGTTATTATTGTTGGTGTTATAATTAATTTGACTTTTAATGATGATTTTGTTGCAGTGGATATTTGGGTTCTTCAGCTTCTGGTTTCCGGGAGCGCCGCCTATGACGAGGACGATGCTAGTTCCGCTACACGCCACCGCAGGTTTGGCTATTTTTCTGATGGCGATATGCACCGCCGAGACGGGCTTTATGGAGAAAGGGGGCGAAGGGCCAGGCGCTGAGACTCGGCTCATCAACTTCGCAGGGCTGATCATTCTCCTCTTCGGCCTGTTTGTCAGCCTGTCCACGGCCCTTCCCAGAATCATGTCTTAAGCGCTTTTGGAATTTTGTGGTGAACGACTGAATTGAAGGTGGGATTTGCGTTGTGATTCTTTGAGATTATAATTAGTATTCTGTTGTTTTTTTTTTTTCTTTTCTCATGAGTTGTATGATGAATAATGGTTGTTCTTGCTTTGTTTTTTTGGGGCATTTATGTCAATTAAGATAAATTCACATACACATCACATATCTAAGTTTTGGTGAATTATTCTGTGCGGATACAGACGCCTTCTAGAGACGAATCAGAACGCGCCATATCCCATTTGTTTTGTACCATGGCTATTTACCACTGTGTACCGGGTCACGTGATGCGTTCTGATTTGCTTCCGGGCAGTCCCGTGTCCGCACAGAATAATTTCTTTAAGTTTTGAATTCAATACATCTTTATTGATAGCCAAAGCTCCCAATGAATATATCAAGTGAGTTACATGTTGATATATTCATTTAAGCTTTAAAGAATAAAAAAATATTTTGTTGCCTCAATAATGGAGTGCTAAAAAATTATGATTAGATAGGCATGAGAGAGAGAGAGAAAGACAGAAAAATCTTAATAATTTCTTATGTGACTGTCTATTACATGCAATTCATTTATAAGAACCCAATTGTTAATATATTATTTTTATGGAAACATAACTCTTATATATTATGAAAAATTAATAGAGGGTCTTAGCCCATTTTTATTAGCTATAAAAGACCATTATATAACGTCAAAATATCAAAATATAACTCAAAATGGTTAAAAAAAAATGTAAATTTGAGGTGCTGCAAAAATTATTCAATGCTTAAAATAATAGAACATATAAAAATAAAATAAAATTACTTAACTAGACTCAGAATGTTAAAAAGATCACCCATGAGCAGTTAAATGTAATCAGCGATGTAGTTTTGCATCTTCAATTGTCACAACTAGGGGTGTCAAGATTTGATCCGACTCAAAAAAATTTGGGTGCGGGTCAACCCGTTTATCATACTAGTCGGGTTTGGGTTCAAGAAACCATTACGTTTTGAAAATCAGGTCGGGTTCCGGTTGACCCGAAAATCCTAAAATGACCCGTGAAGCCACGCAGTTCAAGCGACTATGCATTAATGCGTTCTTTGTTTTCACATTTTAAGGTTATTTACCAGTTCACATCTTTAGCTAATCAGCTCTTTCATTCTCATTCTCTTATGAGTTCTGCGTTCGTTCGTTGGTTTGTTATGTGACTTATGTTGACATCGTGTTGCCTTTCTTTTCTCGACCTCATTTGCTCGTCTATTTCTGGCTTCCTCTTTGTTCTTGCCTTGGCCTCCACCTCCTGCGCAGTTTCTCGTCGTTTCTACAATTTTGCTGTTGAGAGACAATTTTTTCACTTTGTCCTAGGTTAGTGCCAAGGTGATTTCTATTGATTCAAACTTGAAATGTTGCACTTAGCTGGGTTGCCTATATGTTGCCTTGTTGGGTTTGTTTACTATTAATTATTGTTGAAATGTTAAATGCTACACTATTATCATTACTATGTTTTCTATTTAGCTGGTTTTTGTGAGTTTGTTTATTGTAATTTGTTGTTGTGAGTTTGCTTCCCTTTATTTTGAAGTAATTCTTTTTAAAGTAAAATGGGTTAGCGGATGAATCCTAGTTAAGCCAGACCCGAATCGGCTCGGGTCCGAGTTTCCAACTCATTTCCCTAAACGAGTCAAGATTTGATTGTGTCATATGATGATGGGGTTTGAGCTATCTAGAACTCATAAAATTAAGCTTAACCTCAAGCATAAACTCAATTAATCAATCTCAAACTCAAAAAAATGTTGACTTGAATTTGACTCTATTCATTTACATTAGGGCCGGGTATTAAAATTTACCCGACCCAAATCAAATCAACCCGAATCCGACCCGCTAGCAATCTAAATGATCCGAATCTAATGCAATAACACACTTTGATTTAATTTTTTTTAATAACTTATAAACGATAACAATCTAAATGATCCGAATCTAATGCAATAACACACTTTGATTTAATATTTTTTAATAACTTATAAACGATAACATTTATAATTTTTTATTAAAAAAATAAGAAGATTATACTTACAAATAAGAAAGTTCAAGGAAAAATAATATTAAACTATCTTTCTTAGTCAAAGAATGGGTTCGCAGATCAACCCGAATCCGACTCGATTAATAAATGGATTAGAAAATCCAACAATCTGATCCGTTTATTAAATTGGTCAATCTGAACCCAATTATTTTGAGCCGGATTAACTATTCAAGTTATTTATTGAAAGATGAGCAGCTGAGTGTACCAATTTATAAGCAAATTCTACACAGTTTTTTTTTTTTTTTTTAATTTGAAAATTTCGTTGTGTACAGTTAATTATTGATTCATTATAATATAAAGCTAGACATTCATGCGTGGTGATTCCAGAGTGGAGGAAAATGGTCTCTCTAATTTAAGCAATTTGCGTAAGACTATATAATTTCAGCAATTAATCATATTAAGACAAATGTCAATTTTGACTTAGCTTACTTCTCAATGTCATAAGTCATACTAAGGCTCGTTTAAGATATATAGTTTTTTTTACTATTTTTTAAAATAATTTTTTTATAAAAAAAAAATTGAATTAAAAATGTTATACTAAAAAAGTTATTTTAGATTTTGTTTGGAATAGCTTTATTACTGCTTTCCAAAACTAATATATATAAAATTTTGTTGAACTCAAATTTTTTATACTGAAAAATTGCTTTAGAAAATAGTAAAAAGTTACAAACGATGCCTTAGAACACAATAAAAAAAGTAATAAAAAATGCAGCCTACATGCATTTAGTAATAAAAAAGCTGGCTTTTTTTATTAGAAATAATATTTGTTGCGTCCAGGAGTATTCGCGGCGGTAGAGAAATATCATATTTAACGTCTTAGCATTGTACGAAAATTCGGCACGCAATCAGATAAGGAGAGAGGGTCTAGCATTTATGAGACACCAAGATTTTTACGTGGAAAACCCCTGTAAAAGGGGGAAAAACCACGGGGCCTAGCCTAGTTTGAATGAATCCACTAGTATTGCAGTCGATTACAAATGAGGCCCTTCCCTAGGAGAAGGCCTTAGCTTGATGTACATCTTATGGAGTACATTACATGATGTAAATACAAAGAATCACTATTGACATGTTCGCTTTGTTAGAAGGACTGCAGTCGGCGGGCGACGTAGGTCAGGAGGACCGTAGTCAGCTGGCGACGGAGGACTGTAGTCGGCGGGCGACGGAGGTCGGAAAGTTTGTATTCGGCGGGCGACATAAGTCAGGAGGACCGTATTCAACGGGCGGCGGATGTCGGAAAGACTGTAGTCGGCGGGCGACGTAAGTCAGGAGGACCGTAGTCGGCTGGCGACGGAGGTCGAAAGGACTGTAGTCTGACGACGAAGATCAGTATGACAGCGTCAGGCAGAAGTCCAGCAATAGAAACAAATGCATCTTCGCATAGACGTCCAATGAAGTCCGATAACCGGTAGAAGTCCGGCGTCGGGTAGAAACTTGGTGAAGAGTGAAGGTCCGACGTCGGGTAGAAATCCGACGTCTTTAGATGGCAGAGGAGAACTCCGGCTTCACTTGGGCTCGTCAAAATCGGAGACCGTTTGGTAACTCAAATTGCGGTTGAACCTTCCAACAGCGCTTTGAACCCTTGATTCAGACTCATTTGGGTTCGGATTGGGTTGATCTTGGTGTCGTTGGGTTCGTATTTCCGAGACGCTCAGTTTGACTGTAAGTTCTCTGAAATCGGAGTTTGGGTGCTCCCAAAATTAATTTTTGAAGTTTTCAACTTATTTTTGCCTTGAGATTCGTGCCCGATTAAGATAGTTTTATAATGACGTATCAATATTGTATTCAATTCAGTTTGTTTTTTTAAGAGCCTGTTTGATTGCAAGAATTTAGGATATTTAAAAATTATAAAAGTATTTTAAATTGAATATATTATATTTTGATCTTTTTTAGGTTTTTTTTATAATTCTTAGAATAAATTTATGAATTTTTTACTTTATTTGTTTGGATAGTTGAAAATTTCTTTCATTATTTTAGTTTAGATCAGGACGGGAATAGTGGTTGTGTATTTACTAGTGTGCGATTGGACTCAAGGACAAAAAGGGTTAATAGCATTGGGTCGAGATTGACATGGGTTATGAACTTATGATCAAAATGTACTAAAAAAGCTATTTTAGAAAGTAATAACAAAGTTTCCTGAAATAAAACCGTAGTCCTCTACATCCATAGTCTCACTTATTTTTTTATATTACCCAATTACAATTACAATTACAATTTGATAAAAGAATAATTTCAATTGTATATTCAAATGATATATATGATCATAGCTTAATTTTTTATATAATTTACAGGCTTGTATATCATGAAAAAAAAATAATAAAAAAAAAAGAATATCAATGGTCACATAAAAATATAAAAAGACATGTATATTAATGTCTATACTTAGCCAATGAATACTTTAATTAGGTAATTTGAAATATTGTTCTCTTCATATTTCATCTCTCAACATTAAAAGTCTTTTAATTAAAATTAACATTAAATCTTCGAGGAGAAACTACATCAAAATCACTCCACATTGATGAAGTTCATACTGACCTTCCATAGTATCTATCTAAAGATCATAACATTTAGTCCAATTAATACAAACTCACATACATATCATATATTTAAGACTCGAACTCAAGACCTCTTAATATATCAAGATGAACGGGATAAGCTGTGTATATTTGAAGAGATTATTACGTGCGGAGTTCGGACGAGTTTGGAGGCTAATTTGGACGCGCCAAGTCACCCAATATACAATTTATTGGATGTCATGATGCATTTGAATTGATCTCCAGATTTCACGTAATAATTTTTCTTACCTTTGACACATTAATAATCCATAGTAAATCACCATATAAAACAAAAAGTTTTACAAGTTTTCCTAGTTGTAAAACAGAGGACGACCAGCTGGAAGGCCATGAGATCGGCCTGTATAATATATATCTTAATTTATTGATTCAAAATAACTCCGTCTTCTCCTTTGGAAATATCGCTGCGCACAAGCTGCAACCTCGCAACAACAATTAACTCGTCGTCAACGAATTCATCAGCCCTTCCAATCATTCAAAAAGGGGAAAAAAAAAAGAAATTAATTCCATGAATATGTAAAAATATTTATCTATTAATTATGTTGTAAGCAAATATTTAATCTGAGTTTATTGAGTAAAATAAATTTTTATTGTCTGGAATTTCTTCAAATCTGAAGCAGCAACATTTGGAGCGAGGTAGGAGAAATCAGGTCAGCATATATTTAAGAATTCTTAAATTTATTTTGAAATAAATATAAAATATGGATAATCAGCTCTTACTATACTGTATTAATTTCAATAAAATAAATTTAAATATTTTAAAATTCAATCATATCAAATTTTCCTTCGAAAGTAAAACTCTCTCTGTCTCACGTATAAATATAAGCAGTTACAGTGCATAAAAAAATCAAGCCGGCATTAGTTTCCTATATCTTCTCTTTCTCTCTCTCTCTTAGTTTCTCGCTTTGAGGTGCTCCCTAAGGCGAAGCCATGGCGAGAAGCAAGAACGGAGGGAGATATCGTATGTCTGCAACACCGGCAATTGTGATGGCGGAGATCTTCGCTGTTACAGCGATAACTCTCATGCTTGTTTCGGTCTTACACTTCGAAGGTGGCTTTTCGCTTAAAGCTGAAAACAAACGCGTGCGGCTATTCAATGTACGCACTTAATTTCATGCAATTATTTTTATATATTTCTGAATATTTTGTGACCAAATTTTGAGTAAAATGAACTTCAAAATCATTGAAGTATTCCTAAATTTGTATGATATAAATTAATTTGATTATCTATCTCTTTAACTCTTTTACAAGATCTTTAAAAGACTTTGACTTCATTTGGGATATGTTTTTTACTACTTATTAAAATAATTTTTTTTAAAAATTGTTGCGTCCTGGAATATTCGCGGCGGTAGAGAAATATATAGTTTAACGTCTTAGCGTTGTACGAAGATCCAGCACACAATCAGATAAGTGAGAGGGTGTAGCGTTCATAAGAGACACCAAAGTTTTTACGTGGAAAACCCCTGAAAAAAGGGGGAAAAACCACGGGGCCTAGCCCAGTTTGAATGAATCCACTAGTATTTGTAGTCGGTTACAAATGAGGCCCTTCCTTAGGAGAAGGCCTTGGATTGATGTAGCAAATATACATCATATAGATTGCATTACATGGTAAAAGTTACATATACAGGTTTGTTTGGCCTGAAAGACCGTGGTCGGCAGGAGACCGGAGTTAGAAAGTTGAGTTATTTTTTTCATTAAAAAAGGATTATAATATTATTTTAAAATGAGTGCAATATATATTTTGATTGATTATTAAAATGTTTGGTATTGATCTAAATCGATATATAATGTGATTAATTATTTGATGGTCATTATGGTTGATTTTTGTTACTATTATTGCTTCTTTCTTTTGAGGTAAGTTTACTATACATTTTGTTATTATTACTGTTAATTTCTTTCCTTCTGTGTAATGGGAGTCTAAACCTTCTCTCTAATATTGTCAAAATGTTCTCATTTTGATGAATCCAAAACTCGGAGCAACTTCTTGAAAGGAGTAGAAGACCTCCATCTTGCAAACGCTTAGAAAAACTCTTCTCTTCTCTATACAATTTGCGAGAAATTATTATGAGCGGTCATCGGACGTCATCTGAAGACGAATCAGGACACGCCATAATTCACCGCACAGAATAATTTCCCCCAATTTGCATCCCCTCACCTACCTCTTTACTCTCTTTACCTTCTATTGATTATGGAACATTTCTTTCTAAATCTCTATTTAAAACAATAATAAAAAAAATAGATTTGTGAATAGAGATCTTGTTATAATATTTCACTAGATATTATAAGATTTTTTGAAGTCAACATATAATTAAAAAAAAAAATTGTCAAATTAAATATATTAAAGATCTTTACATTCATATTCTATCTCCAAACTTTTTCATAAGACTCATAACCAAAATTAAAGTTAAGCTTAAGTGCTAACTACTTTCTAATTCTATATTAATATAAATTTTCACTATTTGATGTTAATTAAAATTGAGATTGAAATTTCTCAAACTCTCTACTATCGAGATATTACTCGCTTTAGTCTAATGGTCACACAGTTTTAGCCAATTTGCATAACTTCTTAATAAGTCACACATCCTAAGAGTGCTCCTACACGAGCAAATTAAACTGTAGAGTTTCTAATGAAATCCTAACCTAGCGATAAATTATTCTGTGTGGACACTGGACGGTTCGGAGACCAATTAAACACGCCACATCACCAAGTACACAGCAGTAACGAGCATCAGTACCGAAAAAAAAAAAGTGAAGTGGCGCCTTCTAGTTTGTCTCCGAATGCCGTCTGGTGTCCGCGTAGAATAATTTCACCAACCTAACACATCAAAAGACGTATCGATGTTTATGAGTTTTTTTTTTTATTTATTTAAGAGGTTACACATAGATGATACTTGCCCTAATATAAATAATATTAAAAACTTTAAAAGATATAAGAAAAATTGATGAATTCTAATAGAAGAGCACTTATATTTAATTCTCATGCCTAAACTAACACTCAAAACTTGGCAGGCACATTTTCTCTTTATGTTGTTCGGCCCTATCATATCCACTGGGCAAGGTAAGATTTTTTTCGGAAATTAATTAAAAAATTTTATTACATAAATAAAGTGTAGTTTTATTTAATAAAATAATTGTTTTAATTGCAATTTTTTATTTTTATTTATTTTGTTTGGATAGCTATCATGGCATTTAAGATTGTTCCTGGAACAAGAAAGGCGAGGAAGATAGTCCACATGTTGCTCAACTTGTTGGGTATTTTTTTGGGTGCTCTCGGCCTTATTGCTATCTTTAGGTTGTACAAGGAAAGTCAGTGGGCGCCAAATGTTCATAGTTTGCACTCATGGACTGGACTTGGCGTGATTGGGCTATATGTTATCCAGGTATTGATATTTCCATTATAAATGGTACAATATATTATTAATCATAGAGCTTTTTTACTATTTAATAAAATTATTATTGAGAAAATATTCTTTTTTAATTGCTATAAAAACAAATTTTTGGTTTTTTTTTATAAATAATGAAAAAATAGTGATTAAATAGAAATAATAATTACAGTCTGAAAAATAAATAATAAGAAAGTTGTCCCAAACAAAATCATAATTTTGATTTTTTGGGAAAAAAAGCTGGCCCTAAAAATTTTGATATTATTTTTATTAATATGTACTTGAAAATTATTAAATTTATTGTAAAATAAATATAATAAAATTTAATTATTATATATGTATAATATTAATCTCAAAGCAAAATGTTAATGCTCATTCTAATTAAAATTATATAAAGATGTTTTTTTTTCTTTTGAATTTATAACTTACAAAAATATGATATAAATCTTCTTCTTCTTTTTTTTTAAAATTCTTTAATAATTTATTAAGAATAAAAAAACTGACTTTTCACTTCTTCCTGTAACAAGCTATGATAACGCCAAAACGAGCCTCTATTTTGTGGGTGAGCAAAATATGATTTTGAAAAGTATAATGTCACGTATGAAATAAAAAGAGAATTTTTTTCTTAAAATTTAAATAGTTGCATTTATTGAAGTTGGACAAAATAATTAAAATATTTACTTTTTTAAGGAAAAAAAATCAGGGTGAGCAATTGCACTTCCTGGTTCCACCCCATGCTAGGAGTCTCCAATTCAAGAAAGAACCAGCAGAAAAATAACCGGTTCATTAATTAAGTAGTCAAAATGTTCTTAATTAATCTTAATCAACTAATCACAGATGAAAACAGTTAGTTAATCTCGAACATAATGATAAACATAACTAAGCAACCCATAAATTTTAATTTCTGTTATGTTTATATATGATTGATTAAGGACCGTTAAGCACTTATTAGTAGCACTAAACCCATAAATTTTAATCACTGTTATGTTTAGTTATGATTGATTAAGGACCGTTAAGCACTTATTAGCAGCACTAAAGGAAAGTTTAAAACGGATTAGCTGCTACAAGGAATGCAAACTAACTGGAATGTTTCTTAACAGTTCTTCCTTGGTTTCACTTTCTTCCTGTTTCCTGGAGCGAAGAAGAACATGAGGACAGATATGAAGCCATGGCATGCTTTCTTAGGACTTACAATCTTCATGCTCGCTATTTTCACCTCAGGAACTGGTTTAATCCAGAGATTCAGGTTCTTGGAACTTATGAAGGGAAGAGAGGCTCTTCTGCTTAACTTCACAGGAATAGCCATTGTCCTCTTTGGCATATCTGTGGTTCTATCGGTTATACTTTCATAAAGAATAAAGATAAAGAGCTGACCAATCATTTAAGTGGGGACTCTTTTTTATGGTTTTATTAGTGATTTATGTTGGTTTGTTTACACTTTGAATGCATGGGAAGGAATAATTACATATAGTTGTTGATAATAATAAAACAAAACTGGTTTGTTAGATTTGTGTCATTGCATGAGTGAGAGATTATTTTGATAAGCAATAAGATTTTTGTGATTTTTTTAACATCAGTTGTGAGAATGAGAACTGAGATATTGATGTATTTGTTGGGATCCTATTTTTCTTATGAGAAATATATATCCTATTTGTTAGGATCCTATTTTTTTTTTACATAGTTGTGCGGCACATCTGCATGTTGTTTCATGCTCCATTTATTGTTCGCGCTTTGTTTCCATCTCGGCTTGAATCACATCCATGCATATATTTAATTATTTATACGTACCTTGAGTTAATGCTAAGACTTGCCTTCTTTACATCTCCTTAATCATATTTTCTCCACTACCATAATAAGATAAATAGGAGGGATGGGCAGCAGATATTATACCTTGGTTGGGGGCAAATTATTACGTATGGAGTCAGGACGTCGTCCAATGACCAATAAAAATGCACCATATCACCCCAAAAGTGTACCGCGCTCGGTACCGAGCGTGATATCGAGCATCAGTACGCTCGGTACCGTGCTTGGAACCAAACGGTACCGGACGGTTCTCCCGTTCGGTGTCCGCACAGAATAATCTCTCTACCTTGGGTGCCTAAAAATTCTATTGTTCCAAATAAATATAATAGATCTAACGTGTACCTATGAAATAAATGATATGATGACAAAAATAAAAATTTATAGTTATGCAAAATAAAAGATATAATTAATAGATAATTTGAAAAGTTGAGTTAGAAACATGCATTTAATACATATTAATAAAATACAGATCCATCCATCAACTTCTTAGAAAAATCAAAACCCTAAATTTAGCAAACATAAATAATAAAAAAAAAAACTTTATAGATGAAGGTGGATCGGATAGTTTCAAAAGACTTTTTCATTGAGGGCGGCAAACATCGTAGGAGAAAACATAAAACGAAAGTAAGCTGATTATTTTGTCATTCTCTACTATTGTTGACCCTTTTCTTGATTAGTTCCTTGTTTTTTGGTTGTGGTAGTCTGGTGGTTTGGGTTATCTGTGCATTTGGATGCCTATTTGTTTGATGGTTTTGGTTGGGGGAATTTTTCATTGGAGGCATTTTTATTTAAAAAAAAAAGACCAACATCTCTTTTTATTCCATTCAAAAAAAGGGAAAGTACAATGGCCCAAGAGATAACCAAACAAGAATACAAAGTTTTGAAGGCAGCCAACCAATAAAAGAAAAAAGCTAACAAAATACAAGAAAGCCGCAAAATATCATAGAAACAATAATGCCAGAGGAACTCAAAAATGCACCATATCACCCCAAAAGTGTACCGCCGGAAAATGCTCAAATTCCGTCGGAAAAAGCCGCCGGAAATGGGTGATTTTCCTGTAGTGTAAAGATCCGCTCAACCAAATAAACTAAGAGAATTAAATCACCAAACATTAAACTCATACAAATTTTCACACAACCTATGATATGAAGGCTTCATTTGGGACAACATTCTTTCTGCTTAGTTTTTCAGATCACAATCATAATTATTTTTTGACTAATATATTTTTGTTGATTTCGATCAAGAGATTTTTATGTTAGAAGTATGCTTTTTACAACAACTTTAAAAAGTTATTTTCTATAACAACTTTATAACCATATTTGCAAAAAACTATAATTGCAGCTGCCGCAAATTAACGGATCACCCTAAAACTTCTTATTTTTGCAAGATTTCAGATGTGTCCCTCTCTTGGGCGGCTTTCTTAGTGGATTTGGTTGTTTTATTGCATTCCTTTCTTTTAGATTGTTTCTTGTAATAGATTGAATCAATGACTCATATGTTTTGTTTTAAATATTATATTTTTAGAGAGCTTATGATTTATTAAAGACTTACAATTCTTTTTTATTTTAACGCATAGGCCCCATGTGTGAGTTTTATCAAAATAAAAAATAAAAAATGTAATTCAACGAATAATCAGGAGTTAATTTTGATCGAAATATTTTAAGTCAGCCAATTTGTTTCTTTGAATATTAACATATTTGTGAATCTCATTCCCAAAGTAAGTAGCATTTAGAATATGCTAATTTTATGTGGTTTGTAACAATGATATTAATGAAATAATTAGTCATGAAATGAAACTAATCACACTTAATTACCAGCTAAATACTCCTTAGTTATGCTACTATATATAGGATAACCTTCTAATAAATGAAGAGTAAATTAAGCACATCAAACTCTTCTTATCTTAAACAAGTGCACACAGCTGCAGCACTGTTGCTCATAACTCATAATGCATGTATAGTTACTCTTCATTAGCGACCAATATGAAATTAACAAATGGAAAGAAAAAGAAGCAATTATACTCTATCACAAAAGAACATTGAAAAAGACACATGAGGCTAAACTAATATATAATCCATCATAATTAGTGATTAATTAATGATCTACTAATTGGCAATGGAAAAAAAATTCCATTTGTGATGAGCATTTTAGTCTTTGAACGATCATTAATTTTATATAGTCTGATTAATTTGAAAAAAAAATATAATATTTTGAGACTAAATTAATCATATATGATTGCCTGTACTGAATAAATTCCATTTTTTTATTAGTTAGTTAAGACAAATGATCATATCTCAAAAGTACTCAGCATGCGCTCATAGCTTGAAGATTAAGAGATAATGCACCTCAAAAGAACTTTCCGCCCCTCTCCATCTTAATATCTAAAATTAGGTTACTCACAAAGCGATAGAGCCACGTTAAAATAATGATGGAAACCAAAGCAGCACGAAGCATCACTGAAAGCAACTGCTTTCTCCAGAAGAAACAGTACAACAGCGGCCAGTGGGAATGTGCATGAGTCGTTTAAGGAGCAAAGGACAAGACTGAGTATACATTCGTTTGGAACAGTTTTCTTACTGTTTTATAAAGTTATTTTTTAGTACAAAATTTTCAGAAAGGAGAAAAAAGTTATCCCAAATGAAACCTTAATCTGTTGGTTGCATGCTTTAACTATCAATCTTGAGTTCTTAGATTCAATGCTTCCGGATGTGTTATGTGTAAGAGTTTGTCTTTAATTGACTCAAAAGTCTTAAGAAAAGGACATGACAAAGTAATCAAAGTCGTGCAATATGGATGACTCGTGAAGATAGATAAGTACTTATAAAATATATGATTAAAGTTTTTAACATAAAAGAACTCCTATTCATCTATCATGATGAATAAAATAGTGGTTGAATTGTTGAGGGATTTTGTCTCCCTAACATCAATTTGAATTTCAACATAATAATTAGTAAAAAGTTGTGGTGATGAATAGCAGAGGAGGAGATCAATTTTGAGGAGTGTTGACTAGCACCGGCGATGCCTTCATCTCACGCAATGGATTGTACTCGCGAAGGAGAGCAATGTCGAGACAAGGACAAGTTGCGAAATTGGAATGAAATAATGAAATAGGTTTAGAAATATCCCTATTGAATTTTGACCATTTGATCTAAAATTAACGGTCCAAGATAAATATTTTTTGAACCGAGCGTTTTTAAAATATGTTCTGATCCACCCGGTTCAGCTATTGAACCATCGGTTCGATGTTACCACTGGTATTTTTGTGTGAATGCGATTTTGATAGGTAACAGAAGCAGTCCACCAATCAATTACCTATTCAGCAGGTTGAACTGGCTAGTCCGATCTAATTTTTAAACCTTCAAGTAACTAGTAAAATGTTACTTCACATGCAATTCATTTTTTTATAGGATATTTTAGGGCCTCTTCTTCATTTATGTCACTAGTGGTAGAAGACAAAGTATTTTACGTTATATATTGCTTCTTTTTTGTTATAGAGAATTTCACCAGAAATTTTAAAGAAGCTTCCTTTTCCATTTCCTTTCACCTGTCACCTCTTTCCTCCACTCAACCTTTGCTTTCCATAATTAAACATCACTACATTCACTTTACATATCCCCTGTCATCATTACGTCTTTCTCCCTCTCTCTGTTTATTTGTGCGAAAAGAGAAAAGCCCAATAAGTCCACATTTGGCCACAGAGGGCGCTGGATTGCTTGCAGGTCCTTGAATGGTAAGTAATTCAGATCTTAGATTGCTTTTTTCAGCTTTCTGATTGTATTTAAGATATCTTAAAAGAGTATTATTAGCTCTGATGATCTGTGAGATCTTTGAAAATTCTTAAATTTTATGCTTTTTGTTCTTGTTTGCTTTTATGTTTTTTGTCTGTTGCTGTAAGAAGTTTGATGTTCTTTCTGTTTTAATAGTAGAGTGGGTTAGTATTGAAATCTTTGCTCATGAACTCTTCTTTCCAATTTAAACTAAACAATGATACAAAAAAATCTGATTTGATTGAGATTCTTTGATTGCAGTATGGTAATTTCTGCATTTGAAAAAGCTCTGTTGTTTTCACTTCATTTCTTTGGTTATTTTTCCTTAGAACATGACCAATCTGATGGATGCTTCAATTGTTAATATCTTCAGCCTGCCATGGAATATTTCCCATCAATGAATATGTAATATACTCAGTGGGACATCAAAATGATATGAATTTTCAGTCATAGAAGAATATAAATGCTTCAGTATCTGATTCAAAAGCTTCTCTTTTAGTATAAAGTGTTCAGTAAACTTCTATGATGAGAGATTTTGCATGGTTGAAGAAGACTTCATTCCTTTAAATGAATCATAATTATAATTGATGGGTCTGAACAATTGTACAGGATTGTCAACTTGTACTAAAAAGGAAACTGATTAATGCTGAATATTATTTGATTGCCTGAATATAATGAATAAAAAATTATGTATATGTGTTACTTAGATTTTGTTTGGAACGGCTTTATTATTATTTCTTAAAGTAATTTTATAGTAAAAAAATAAAAAATTTGTACTAAAAAATTTTAAGAAGCTGTAAGAAAATCGTCCCAAACGAAGCCTTAAATTCTTATCTGTATCATTTATCTATGAAAATCCAGTTTATTCCAATGTTATATATGAAGTGATTTAGGGTCTATGCCTCTATTGTTACCTCTAGGACGCCATAGTAAGGGAGAGAAACTAAAGATGGACTCTGGGTCTTGTTATATATCTATAGCAGTAACTCTGCTTACCTAAGAGGCTAAGATTAGTTTTATTGCTGCTATAAACTTTGGTTATCACAAGTGATTATGTAAAATTACTCCAACTGCAGTAACATTTTTGGTAAGAAAAATTATTCTTTTAATATTTTCTCAAAATAAAGTATTATACTTCTTGTTGGTATACGTGAAAAGGTTGGAATAGCTCAAGTGACCGATAATATTAGAGAGAGTTGCCTTAGTTGGTTTGCTTGCATAAAACTTCAGCCCTTCCGATGACCCGATCAGGGGAGTAGATGTATTAGATTTGACCTATGTTAAGAAATGTAGAGGTAGACATAAAAAGATTTGGTTAGAAATATTAGATATGACCTTTATTTATTAGATTTAAATGAGAATTTGACACTTAATAAAACACCATAGAGTTTTGACAACATGGGCTAGGATTAAACTAATAACATAGAGTATTTGTATATTGAGTGATAGATCTTAATCGGTTGGTTAATCAGTCTGCTTCTTGATGAAATTTCTTTAATGTAGCTTCATAAATTCCTTGAGCAGCACTCTCCACACTTATGCCATATTTGCTTTCTCTGGATTCTTGAAGAAGATTTAGTTTTGATTTTTATAAATTGATGGCTGCCAAACTTAATATCCTATTCATACATAATCTCCTAAACTTATCACTTGAAGTTGCTCCAGGAGTGTCAAAAATTAACACGACCCAAAAACCAACTCAAACCCAACCCGAATTTTTCGAGTTAGGGTCAACCCGAATTCGAAATTGGTTAAGTTCAGGTCCTGATTTTCGACCCGCTTTGAATTCTAGGCCTGGTTCGGGTTGACCCGGAAATCCAAGAATGGCCCGATTTCAACCCAGAATCATGTAGTTCGAGCTTATTTATGGGATTTGGCCGAAGAAGCGCACGAAACAGAGAAAGGTACCTTCAGAGCGAGTGAACTCCCGCCATTGCTTCCGATCAAAATGTTGTAACTTCCGATCCGATCGAAAGGGAAAGTCGTCCAAGGAGCGAAGTCGAACAACAACGAAGGAGCCGGTGACTCCTGCAATCTCTACAGACTACAACAACGACGAAAATGAGAAGATAAAAAAGCAAAACCTAGACGCCTCCAAGTTCACGAAACAGAGAAAATTTCCTTCTCAGTGAGTGAACTCCCGTCGTTGCTTCCGATCAACATGATGTAACTTCCGATATGACCGAAAGTGAACGTCGTCCAAGGAGTGAAGTCGAACAACAACGAAGGAGCCAGTTACTCATGAACACGATTGGAGCTTGGCAGGTCGAGTTCGGGTCCAAAAAACTGACTCGTTTTAAAAAAAAAGGGTCGGATTCAGGTCGGGTCGAATAGTGTCAGAACTTCTGGTTGGTCCCGAACACGACCATAGACATGAATTTAACAGCCCTAAGTTGCTCAATGAAAGGAGAAGAAATTAATGGTTGTACGACATCACTCATTCTTCTACTTTAGGTGCAGAAATGGTGGTTGGAGAAATAGCCAATGGAGTGATCAAAGGTTAGTAATTAGTTTGGAATAATGTCATACAGAGGGATTTCTTTATTGGGTTTTCAGCATTAGCCCTAAAGGGCTGGAAATAATAGCTGAAAGTCAAGGCATTCTTAAGAGTAAATAAACAACAACAACCGGAGTCTTTAAAAGAGTGAGTTTGACTTACGAGGTACCATTCCTTTCTATATGTTTGATGGGCATAGTCAATGGAAGAATTTTGCTTAACTTTAGACATGAAACAAGAGAGAGAGAGAGAGAGAGAGAGAGAGAGAGAGCGAGAATAATAAAAGCAAGATAAGATAAAATATTTTTTTTCTTCTTATTGCTTTTGAACTAAGGTGCAAATATTGCTTTATGTAGCTATAGGTGTAGACGATTCTCTCCAAACCATGTAAGCTATCTTGCGTTTTTTTTCATGGTGCTCTCTTTAAATTATTTTTCTCATTGTCATGATTTCCATTGCTCTTAGGTGTGAGTTTTCTCTGATAATTTCTCCACTTCCATGAAGATTTCAATGATAATCTCCCTCCCAGTGAAAATAGGTCAATTGAGCGAGACAATGTGTGTGTGTGAGAGAGAAAGATTTATCCACATCATTCATCACTCTCTTTTTTCAACACTATTATGTATCATGTACCAAGAGCCCACTCAATCTCCTGCAACCTTTATAAGCGCCACCCATTTTTAATTTTTGCTTGATCATAATTAAAGTAGTTAAGAACCATAGATGTTACAATGCATGAATCACTTTATTACATTCTAACCATCAACTTCGATGCCATTTATTAAGAAAAGCAGAACACTGAGGACCCAAATTAAGCATTTTATATTAGTAGATGAATATTTATCCACCCAGAATTGAGGATAATAGGAACTCTATTTATTGGCTTTAAATTTTTTGTGGATGACACACGACTTTAATAACAAGCTGACCTAGTGAGTTAGGACTAGTGAAAAATGGAGAGCGGAGAGAATAAAAGAAAATTTTATAGTATACTTTAAAGAGTTATAGGTTTCAAACTGGAAAAAAATTCACTGCATAAGCCATAAGGTATAATATAAGGTCCCAAACTATTCCTCATCAACTCTAATTTATAGGATTCTGAGGGCTACATGAAAGACAATATAGAGAAAATGTAAAAAGTACTATACTACAAAGATCACCCATTCAACTCTACACACTACCCTAGACATGTGTTGTCCCTTGATTGATTGCAAATTTCTGTTGATATGTCTCTAGGCAAGCTCATTAGTGCTAAGTATGTGCTGGGAGAGCTCTGTAGTGTGAGCGAGCTTGGTAGTGCAAAGTAGGAGTGGGAAATTCTGCGAGTGGGTTTTGAGGAGGAGGTGCTCGAATGTTTTGCAAGCTGCTGGCGGCCTATGCTGAGCCTTAGATCACTTTGGTGAGAAGGCGAGTAATCTATAATTTGGACAAGATGGGCTCAATAATTGATCAATCACTATAAGGTGAGCTGATAGCTCTTTGGGTTGGCGCTTTCTTGTAGTTGAGTTTGGATGAGGGGTTGGTCGCTTCAGAGAGATCGAGAGAGAGAGAGAGTGTGACATATGATGTCCAAGCATGTGGCGTGTGCTGAATTGTTGACTTGGTATAGAGGTCTTGGTCCCCCCTAGCTTGGGCTAGCTCCTTAGTAAGCTTCAGTGAGTGATCACATTAACTCAAATACTATCAAAGTCTTACCTATCAGCTCTCGGGACCAAATAGGAGACATCTTAACCAAACCATTTACCACAGTTCGTTTTCAATTTCTTCTTTCAAAACTGACGGTTCAGCAACCACCATCAGTTTAAAGGGGGTAATAACAGCATCTCACAAAACAGAGGAAGCGGAGCAGCAAACGATATCAAAACTGTTAAAGATTACAACCTTCTAATCTGCACCATACACGTGTCAAGTCTAAAGTTACCTCAGCTGCTTTCATTCTCTACAAAAGGCTTAATACTGTGCAAGAAATGAAATATCCTCCGTGCAAAAGTTGTGTCTTTGTAGCCTTTAGTTCTATTGTCATTCGCTTTATTCCTTGTCATTAAGGGTTCTCTTGGGACGGCTTTATTACTGATTCTTAAAATAATTTTTTATTATAAAAATTTTAATTTTTATATTAAAAAGTTGTTTTAAGAAACAAAAATATAATCGTCCCAAATAAAGCCTACATCACTATGTTTTCTTCATCTTGACTTCACTTCCTATATTACTATTCATCCATGCTCAAAATCATGAAAGTTATTGTATGAAAGTAAATAAATCATTATTACTATGTCTCTTTTTATGTTAATTATGAAAATGTACTGAAAAAAGCCTAAAAGTAAATCGTTCATGACCTTTTTTTCTTCCATCATCAAACTAGATTAGGGAGGACAAAGTTAAAGAGGTTAATTAATGGCTTTATAAACCATATTCATGTTGGAAGATTGGCATTGTGATTAGCTTTTTGCACCCAATTATCATCTGATTGAATGCATTAACATAACTGTAACGCACAGATATGATTATGTTCGCCATCAGCTCTCATAATTTGAAACTTCAGGAACTATTTGGATTGATATTGCATTAATGTTGGAGGAAGATCATTTGACATGAATAAAGCTTTTTACTCTGTAAAAGAAGATTAATTTATTCTGAAGGCAAGAAAGGTATTAATTAATCCTATTATGTTGACAAAGTGAATAAGAACATTTTCATCTGATTAGTTCTACATCTCAATCCAGCTAACAGGCAAGCCTGATGAATCCACCCAGCTGCCATTCCTCTTCCAGCAAAATCCAAGATGAGTTACATATGAATTCACTCAAGACTGATCAATCAGCAGATAACAGCTCTAATATCACAGGCCAAATCGCTTGCTCCCCCTCCATCTCCACCCAAACTCCCCATTCCATGTCACTCTCGCTTTCCCTCTGCCTCCCCATCAACCATGACTCCCCTTCCAGCACTGTTGAAAGCAGCAACGAAGCCCATAGACGAAGAATGTTCACATGCAATTACTGCCTTCGCAAGTTCTTCAGCTCCCAAGCTCTCGGCGGCCACCAGAACGCCCATAAGAGGGAGAGAACATTGGCAAAGCGTGTAACTACAGCTGAACAGTTCACTCATACTATTGTAAGCATGGCTTCATTTCCCCTTCATGGTGGTCTGCAGGCTCATGGCTCGTTGCATCAAGGTTTCTTTGGGACGCAGGAGATGAGAAGAAGTGGGATGTTTGAACAAGGTTTGTTTGAAGGAATTCCTGCGTTAATGGAAGAAGAGGAGGTGGGGGTGATATGGCCTGGGAGTTTCAGGCAGAAAGTGGTTCCTGTTTCTGAGTTGAATTATGGGGAGAAGGAAGCAGGGGAGGTTGATGAGCCTGATCTCACTCTAAGGCTCTGAATGAAACGTATAAATTGATTTGCTTCAGAATGTAGTGATGCTTCGTTTGGGACGTCCCAAGCGAAGTCTTAGAATATGAGCAGGTATTGCTACGAGGTTTTATCCTCTGCTTGTTTTTTGCTTGGCTGTTGTGCCTAGCTAGTCTTGTTTGTGGAGAAAAACACTGGAGATTGGTGCTAATTTTTACGTAGAATTATATGGATAGTATTTGGCTTGGGCTTATAAGTAGGCAATGTAGGGGACTGTTGATTTTATTACATATGCATTGTAGATGTGATACAAAAGCAAATGGCCATTTTTCTTTTGATAAAAACTGCTTTGGAGTTGTTTTATCATCTTAAAAGACAAAAGACAAAAGGGTACTCAACCATTCTTTTTCTTTAATCTCATATAAATTGCTCATGCTTTATTAAAAAAGTATTAATAATTTCAACAAGTTAAAAATAAAGAAATTGATTCAATAACTATAATTAAAAGAATTAAAAAATCAAGATAAAACTCATTTAGGAGCTATTTGATTTGTGGGGCTTATAAAAGAAAAAAAAGGGAGCTATTTGATTTGTTGAAAAGAAAAAATGTTGAGTAAAAAGAACACAAGGTATTTAAAATGATTGAATTTGAAATATTCTAGAATTATTTGATTGGGTGTAAAGTAAATACGTGATATTATTTTTTTTGTGTTTGATTTTAAGCAAAATGAATTCTATGTAAAGTTCGATGATCTGGTTTGACGATGCGACTGATAATATTGGGAGTGTCTGAAAATTAGTCTGAGGGGTGAGGGCCGACAACTGTGGCTGAGAGGTGGTGGCTGAGTGGAGGCTGGTGGCAATGCTTGTTGGCTGCGGTCAGAAGCTGCTAACGACAATTAAAGGTGCGATGGCACTTGGCAGCAATGCTTAACGACGAGCAGCAATGGCGTTGCAGGTGACGGTGGAAGTGACAAGTGGGGTATTTAGAAATATGTCAAAAAGGTCAAATTTTAAAATCACAAAAAAATAACTAAAAGATAAGTTTTAAATATATTACACTTTTACACTGCATGTCAAAAGGATTTTAATACCTCTATAAGACAACAAACCAACCAACCACTTAATTAAACAACTTGGGAAGACTTCTTACTGTTTTATAAAGCTATTTTTTTAGCTTTCTTACTGCTTTATGAAACAACCAAAGAGATTTGGGCAATGCCGATATACATACTCTAATTTTACAAAATAATATCAACGGTAGATTGATATTAGATTGCTTCATTAAAATTATATGAGTACTTAAAAGTTCTATTGTGCCATGACAATTCTTTACAACCACTTCGCTCTTATAGAATTAAATCAATTAACATAATTTTAAGCATTTGCTCCTTATGCTAATTATGGAGAGAAGCAGTAATTCGTTCAACTTTTTATGGTTGTTCGTGTTGATTTTAAAATGTTGTGTGGCAATTTTCTTCATCACATCCCTCTTCTCTTTGTTGACAATATTTATCATATTATTGCTTGATATGATACATCATAAATGCATCTTTGTATGATCCTCTATCTATTTTGGTTTTTCCTACTTAAATTCTTGAAAATACTACCACTACATCCACTCCAATGGCCATCCAACACCTTCTAAGAATATGGATCTCTACATAATCATTCTTAGTGTACTTGTAAGCTAACTAAATTATCAACTTTTATTTACTCATCTTATTCTCATGTTTTTACATCTTTTCCTAACTCCATTCATAACTTCTAAGCTCTAGTCCTATAAAGAGGATGTTATTGATCCACTTTAATAATAGGTTATGACTAACTCTTTGTTTTTAATAGAATAAATACTTGAAAATTATAGCATCTATCATCAAGTAAAAGTATACTAAATTCTCATCGGGTATGTAAGATCAATACTGAAGCATATGAATTTGTTGAGCAATATAAAGCATGATTGGTTGCTAAAAGGTACTCTCAGTAGTATAGTATCGATTATAAGGAGACTCATAATTTCAATGTATAAATGCCTATTGTTTATACTCTTATTATTGTAGTCTTAATCCTCTAGTGACATATTTCTTAAATAAATGTAGAGAACAACACCTTCTTGAATGATGATCTTCAAGAGCATGATTACATGTTTCCCCCACTTGGCATTTCTCATAACCCTTGTGGAGTTTGCAAACATAAAAATGCATTATGTACTCACAAATAGCCGCCTTATGCTTGGTTTGAGAGGTTATCTATTATGCTTAACTTCACTTGGGTTTCATCTTAGTGACCACGGCTCTACAACTTTGCTTAAGCACTTCTACTAGATATTTCAAAACTTTTTATATATAAAAAGTATGATTATTGTATTGTTGGAATTCGAATTAACTTCTTACCTTGAAATAAAAGATCTAAATCAAATATGTTATTTTTTTTTTGTATTTAACAAACTCATTCTTCTAATGGCTATCTTATACCACTATCTAAAAAATGTAATAGATACTAGGTGCGCTCATCTTATTGATATTAGGCCTAATTAGTCCACTTGATGGCACATATTTGATTGTCCGCGTCCGGCAGTTCTATGTCGCAGGCGTCCCGAGGCCATGTCGCGTCTGCAGCGTCCGCGGTTTGGATCGGGTTGACCCGAAACCGAAGTGGGTCCGGTTCGGGTCCAGAAATCGACCAGTTTGCAAAATCGGGTCGGGTCGACCCTAACCCGAATAGTGCCGGGCAGTTTCGGGTTCGACCCGAACCCGACTCGTAACCCAAAATTGACACCCCTACTTATCGCTTATTTCTAACTTCTTCTCTATAGAATATAAGCTTGTTTACGAAATGTCATATACTTTTACATTTTGTGCTTCTTAGTAGGTAAAGTATCAATGCTTCTTGTCGCAACATATTGAGTTTGTTAGGAATTGTTAGAGTTATTTAGATTTATTCACTATCATATAACTATTAAAACGTGTCTAATATTTTTAGCAGAAATCTATGGCCATTATTATTAAAATATATTTGTCGGCCTTGATTTTGTTCGTGTGTTTTTCCCTCGAGCGCATTTAAGTGAGCTAATTGAGCCTTGTCGTGCCTAATTTGATTCAAATTGATGTCGATATAGGTTCAATTGCGTCGATCAAGTTTAATTTCGTCAAATTGACTTGATCAGACCTAGGGGTGTCAATATTTGACCGCCCGACTTGAAAATTTCGAGTTTGGGTTGACCCAAACCCGAACCGGGTCGTGTTCGGGTTGGGGGTTCAAACCGTTTCAAAAAACTGGTCGGGTTCAGATTGACCTGAGAACCCAAAAATTACCTAGAATGACTCGACTGTCTGGTCTGCCCGCTCTGCTAGCGTCGCTATGCTCGAGTGCATCGAAGCAGTTGACCGAGGTCTTCGCTTGATATCCACGATCTCCAGCGGCCGTATTTATACGGAGACCCTATTCGCTTGTTTTCGAAAGATTGAAGCGAGAGATGAAAAATGGCGGGCTTAGTATTCGTGCTTTACCCCTGAGCATCCTTCGGATCGAAGCTGGAAACTCTTTCGAGACTAGAAGATAGAGCTTCTCCATTCGGTGATTTCTCGCACTCCAGTATCCTCTCGCTCCGCTTTTCTTCCTCACGCGAGGAAGACAGATAGCCTCAGCCAAAAACCCCTCTTCATCGCTCTCGATCTCTTGCCCTAACCGAGCCCCCTACATTCCTTCGTTTCTCTCGTGCAAACAAAACAGGGCCGAACAGAGCAGCTCTTACTCTTACAGTTCCTCACAAATAGCCTTCCATCAGCCGTCGTCAGTCTGGTAGTAGATCCTGCCACTATTCGGAAGCCCCTCGTCCCGCCGAATTCACGCTTCCACCAGCAGGTACCCTTTTTCTCCCCCACCTGATCCCCATCTTCTCTCTCTGTCTCCATGTCCTTCTTTCCCTCTATCTCTGCTATTCTGAATCACTCCAAATGTTTTGGTTCTTACACAACACAATTATGCTCTAATGACATCGTCTCTGCATCGTCTCTTCTATATTTGGCAATTGGCATTATGTTTAGATTCTTACACAATGCAATTATGCTCTGATGACATCAACTCTGCATTTTCTCTTGTGCATTTTGCATCTAGGTGTCAGTGAAGCAAAATCCATTATTGCATTCTTACACATGATTCTTTATATACACTATTTTGCTGTTTGAATGTGGAAAGTCATTATAAGACATTATAATTATTGATTTTGTTGTCAGCAAGGTCGTGGATATATACAGCAGTTTTGATTGAAATCCATATCAATTCTTTATTTGGTAAATTTTAATCAAATTTGTCAAAATTTTGTTTTACAAATTTATGCAAATGTACATTAAATACAGCTTTTATGTTTTTCTACATGTTAATATTTTTTTTATCCGGTTGGTGCTGTTCACAGATAGAAGATGGCTGGTGCTGACAACTTTCAGCCCCTGGTTTGCGACAATGGAACTGGGATGGTTAAGGTATGCATGACTCTTCATATTCAATTCTTCGAGTTGTTTTGTTTTTATTGGAAACTTCTTTTGATGAAGATGTCTCATAACCACCTTGAATTGGTAAAGCTATTTCACATATATCAAATCATGGACACAAAAAAATGATTGGTCTCCTGAATTGTTTTCTTAAAATGCATTTCAAAATTCCTAATTGTGCTTATTATATCCATGAACTATTATTGAACTTACTGATCTAGGCTGGATTTGCCGGAGATGATGCCCCAAGAGCTGTTTTCCCAAATATTATTGTAGGTCGCCCACGTCCCAGTACTTGCGTGTTGGTCGGAATGGGGCAGAAAGATGCATATTTTGGGGATGAATCTCAATCCAAGAGTGGTATTTTAACTCTTAAATACCCCACTGAGCATGGGATTGTAAGCAACTGGGACGATATGGAGAAGATCTGGTACCATACATTCTATAATGAACTTCGTGTTGCACCAGAAGAACATCCAATTCTCCTCACCGAAGCTCCCTTGAACCCCAAAGCCAATCGTGAAAAGATGACTCAAATTATGTTTGAGACATTCAACACTCCAGCCATGTATGTTGCCATTCAGGCTGTTCTGTCCCTATATGCTAGTGGCCAGACAATAGGCAAGCAAATATATGATTATTGAGTCTGTAAGTCCAAAAGAAAATGTTTAGCAACGACGATTATCTTGTCAAATTCTTATGTTTCTAGGTATTGTGCTGGACTCGGGTGATGGTGTGAGCCACACTGTTCAGATCTATGAGCAGGGGCGGAACCCCATGGCTGTTAGGGGGGGCAATTGCCCCCCCCCCTCAAAACATTTTAAAAAATTTATTTATATGATTTTTTTAGGTAATTTACTCATTTTCATTTATTTTTTAGTCTTTATTACAAGAATTTTTAGGCAATTGCCCCCCCCTAAAAATTTGAAAATACTATTGTCTTTAGGTAATTGCCCCCAACAGGTCGAACCCTGCCATGGGACACTGCCCCCTTAGACCCCCGACATATATGTCTTATAAGTTTGCCCCCCCTAAAAAAGGGCTGGTTCCGCCCCTGACTATGAGCTCCCTGATGGGCAGGTTATAACCATTGGTTCTGAGCGGTTCGGTTGCCCTGATGTCCTCTTCCAACCATCTATGATAGGGATGGAAGAAGCTGGCATTCATGAGATCACATACAACTCGATCATGAACTGTGATGTGGATATCAGAAAGGATTTGTATGGAAACATAGTGCTTAGTGGTGGATCTACCATGTTTGCTGGCATTGCTGACAGGATGAGCAAGGAGATCTCTGCATTAGCACCGACCATCATGAAGATCAAGGTGGTGGCTCCCCCCGAAAGGAAGTATAGTGTTTGGATTGGAGGTTCCATCTTCGCATCTCTTAGCACTTTCCAACAGGTATTTTATCTCAGCTCATTAATTTAGTGCTTATCATTGTTACAAATGTTCTTACAGCTGATCATCCCAAGTTACCGCTTCTTTACTTGTGTAACAAACAAATATACAGTGTAGATATTTTTGATTTTGTAGAGATGCACGAGATCATTTGTAAGAAAATAGATATATATTCTTACTTTTTGAAACTCCTTAGGACAGTGTAAAATTATCACAATGCCATATGGTGTGTTATTCAATGCTTTGCAGACTTAACTTGTTTAATCTAGAATGAAGTTTATGATAAAAAGGCTATATATTATTATAGTGCTCACACTGAAAAAAATTCTAAAATTCACCATTATTACTACATTTTTATCCATACAATAACACATCATATGGCATTGTGATGAATTCACACTGGTCGAAGGAGTTTCAAAATGTAAGATTATATATCTATTTTCTTACAAATGATCTCATGCATCTCTTCAAAATCAAAAAATATCTACATGTTTGCGTATGCAGATCTGGACCAGCGGGGATTGATGCCCCCGACGCTCCACCTTGGATCTGTGCATGCATAACAAGCTTGCCATAGTGTGCTAGTTTGTGGCGTCAGCATGAACTTCTAATTAAAATTCCTCATTTGCCTGGGATCTGTTAGTCGATATAGTCTGTCCTTTGTCAAAAAGCTTTCTATATGTTTATGAAGTCTATCATTTTTTTTTGCTGGGATGAAAAAAATCACTGCTATCTGTGATTGCAGATGTGGATTTCTAAGACAGAGTATGATGAGTCTGGGCCATCAATTGTGCACAGGAAGTGCTTCTAATCTTCCAGGATTATGTTTGGAAATACTTGAGTTTGCAAGCAAACCTAACCACAATTGGTGGAAACAGTGAGTAAAACTGCTATTTACAGCAGAAAAATAGCAAAATACAGCAGGTTTCTTGGGAAAAATAGAGGAAAAACTAATAGAAAATGAAATATTCCACTAGTAGTTGTAGGAAAACAACAAATGATACAAGTTTTTTCAATTCGAGAGAAAGAAATAGCTCTTCAAATCTCTAGCCAATTCTAGAGCCCAAAAGAAAACTCTAGATCCCAAATCGGATTTCATATTCAAGATACTAACAAGAAAGACTAATTAAAGCAAAAGAAAAATTAATTAATATCTAAATAGTTCCTCATTCAAAATTTCCGCTCCCAAACTTTGTTTAATTTAAAGCCATGGGGCCCACCATTCTGCCGCCCACCCCTTCTTGTCCACCTCATCTTTGGACCGACGGGTGTAGACATGAATCGGACCAGGCTGGGACTGTTCAAGTCTAACAGATCATGATTGGGGATTATAGACCGAGCAGCTTATAAAAAACACCTGGTTTTGGGTTCAATAAGGTTTTTAACTTTTTTTTTTTTAAGTTTTTCCACACTCATTTCCTCCAAGTCTTCATATTCTTTTTTCTGGCTGTCTGAAATGATTTCACATGATCTTTTACTTTTTTCCACACTCATTTCCTCCAAGTCTTCATATTCTTTTTTCTGGCTGTCTGAAATGATTTCACATGATCAGTTAATGCTGCACTTGAGAAATAAGGACTATGCTGGACTAATGGTTTTTCATCACAGATTTAACAGATATTTTTACTCACATGCTTTCTCAATTAAAATTATTATGTCATAATATTTGAGGATAACTGGAATGATAATAGCTACACATTTAGCTATAATTCTAAAAATGATTACTTTCTTGCCAACCATTTAACATTAAATGCCCCTATATGAAACAATATGAAAAAGAAATTAAATTATTAAAATGAATGTTTGATAAAATAAAGTTAAATAAGAACATTAAGGAATATTTATATTTGAGAAATGCGAAGAGTGACAATCATAAAAGATAAGATGATTGAAAAAATATCTAAGTGATTTGATCATGTTGGGCATGTAGATAAGTTTATATTGATAAAAAATATTCAAAATAATTTATAAATTTACTGTCTCCCTTGGAAGAACTCCATCAACTCAGCTCGACAGAATCCCATCTGTCCTTTGAGATCATCAACAACATGATAAAGATCGATGATTCAATGCAGCACAACCACCTTATTCTCTCATCACACATTGTTTTCTACACACAGGCATGAAGAAAGGCCTATTGAGTGATTTAATTAGAATTTTAAGTGAGAGGGAACCAAAAGATTTGTCTAAAGTTTAGAAGGATTAAGAATAAATATGTTTTCAAATTAGCATAATCAACAGTAGGGTGTTGGGAATAGAGAGCTTTCCAGAAAAGCTGGAGGGATAGTTTTCTATCATTATTTATTTATTTTTGGTTTTCTCATTTCTAAGAGGAATGGATTTAATAGAATGATGTGATTCAGTAGAGTAGATGGAAAGAGAGAGGTCCAAAGCATTTTTAGTTATGATCTTACAAAGAGTATGGTTCATATAACAAAACTATTGTTTGTACGTAACAATAATGCAAAAAAAATATAAATAAAAAACAACCTAATTCATCTTAAAATTTGTAAATTTATATGTGTGGAATCTGATTGTGTTGATCAATCGGGTTGTTCTATTGCCTCGGATCTCAAGTCTCTCGCGCTTGCTGAGGGGTGTGGGGGTTTACCCCCTACTTGGGTTTGAGTTTACCACTGGAGCTACGTACCTGAGCGTCTCAGTACAATGTTCTTGAGTGCCTCATCATTAAACGACAGAGAGCAGAGCACTACAGCGGTTTATATACGATGCCGCAGCGGATCAAGTCAGAGGTTCAAGCGCTACAACATTCCAAACTGGTGCCGCAATGCTGCAAGAATAATTTGACGATTTTCTTTTTCATTTTTCTGAAGGGTTGCGTCCCTTGGGGTTATTTACTTGACTTTCTCTTATATTTTAGGTGGTTAGTCATTGAGAATGATATGCGTGAGAAGAGAAGCAAGGAGAGAGCGAGTGAGAAGAGAGATATGTATTTATTTCTCCCAATTTTTATAGTAGATTTCTTGATGTGACGTGTCTCCGTAGTTTTTTCCCCTATGTTGAAATTTTTCACGTTAAATATTGGTATCCTTTATTTATTTTTACGTTCTTGTTTGTCTCATCGTTGTGGTGTTCAATCCTCCTCATCCCCAACATAAACTAGTAATAGGATCACTGACAGAGAAGAGTTCACTTTATTAAAAAATTAGTATGATATCAGAGTGGCAATTCACATATAATGTAATCATAAAGCTCTAATTAAATTTATATAAATATGCATCCTATGAGTCTAATCCTTTTGTAGCCACCACAAAATCCCTATTTTTTTTGTCATAATTAATTTCTTTATGGGTAGTTTAGAGCTTTGAAGATTTTCATTCGCATGTGTTCTCTCTGGTTGCCTTCAGTACACAACAATAATCAACCATGCCTTTGTTTGTACCAATTAGACGTTTGAAAACGCAACCTCAAAAGCTGAGGACGCAAGTGGGGACAGTTCAATGTAAATTATTCTTCTATCGGAGAAAGACTTGGCATTACTTTGAAAGAAATGCAAAATCAAAGCATTTTGAATTTTCTTTTCGCACTTAGCACATTATATTACTAAGGTAGACAACACAAATAAGCATAAAATTTCTTTGCAAGAATGTTGTGCATTGATAATCCTTAGGCACAAAAAATTCTTCGTGATTCCCAAAATAATGAGTTGGGGCTAATGCATTGAGAAACTTTTATGTACGTGCAACTCTGGGCCTTATCCTTGTTAACTAGCACCTTTGAGAATTTGCAAATCGGGCATTATCACGAGAGCTTCTCCTATTAACATAATCCTCCTCTCAAGTACCACCAGCCCTAAAGTTTAAGCCATAAAATGATTATATTTGCTCAATTTGTTTCTTATGAAAAATACTTAGCACCTGTTCGGATGAATGGCGATGGCTTATTCAGCTTTGATCATGACCGATTGGGCGTCTAGATGGGCGGATTTCGTTGTGGATGCTCACCAAGATATCTAGGAATGACGGTTGATAAAGTAAAAGAAGCAATAGTCGAATACAGAATGAGTTGGCTAGGTCAGGAAAAGGGAAAAAATACCTAGGATCCGTTCGGATGAATGACGATGAAGGATTCAACGTTGAATACAGATTTGGAGGCTGCGGCGGATTCTGCCGCAGGTTCGATGTTGGGACGGCCAGATTCGGCAATGGATGCTCACCAAATGGAGATCTAGGATGACGGTCGATGAAGCGAAGAAGTAATACTAAATGAGTTGGTTAGATCAAGAAAGAGAAATAATAGGTGAGATTTTAGCAGCAGTGAAAACTGCTACTAATACTTATCTATAATGGTGGTTTTCAAACCGCTGTTATAAATTGCTGCGAAAATATTAAGTTTTCTATAATGAAAATAAATTCATTATTTCCTATAATATTTGCTTTGCGGTGCTCGAGGGGCTACAATCAGACAACTTCATGGCATTTGCAGATATTGGGATATTATATACTATCTAATAAACTTTGTTCATTATTAATGGAAAATAAACTTTGTTAACCTCTCCTGATATCCAAGACATAAAGGTAGATAGCTCCTTCAAATCAATAGATATAACAAAACAATTTTTTGTTGACACTAAGTTGCTCTTCAAACTCTGCACCCTTGGTGCTCTCCCCATGAGGATTCAAGCACATTTTCTTCTTATCTCTAATATAGCTTCATAACCCATAACTGTAGTGATGTTGTAGCTCTAAGTAAATTGTGTTGGGCCTTGCAATCTTCTTCAAGGCATTGTACTCATACTGAGCTATATCCTTGTTCAACACTCTCCATATTTTCTCCCTTGCTAGCCTATCTCGTACGTATCTAAAGAATCCTTCCTTATCCTAAACCACGTGAAGCATGTATGTGAAAATAGCACAATATTTATCAGTGTATACAATTTACAAGGAAATAATATTAAAACTTTCACATATTACACTCCAAAAAAGCCCTCTTTATGTCAACAATTTTGAAGATTTTATTCCCGTCTTAGTTATCACTTATGCATAATATTTATGCTCATTTTCTATGATTCTTCATCAAATATGAACTCCCCAAAGTTTAGATCAATGAGCCAATCAATCTCTATAGTTTCAAAAATTATAGTATTTTTGTCACTGTTAATTATAATTAAGAACTCATCAATCTTAGCAATCCTCAATAATAGTTGATGAACTAGGGTACCCAAAAAATTGTATCTTAGGAGTTCTGAAAATTTGGCCAAAGGGCCATCTTTGGGCTTTATTAAAGTGGTCATTAGTCTCAAACTATTTACCACTTTATTCATACTCTTGTATATAACTTGAGCATTATAGTGCCTCCCAATTGGTACCACTAAATTAGACATTTGCATAGGAACTAATGTAACATGAGTTAATTCAAGGTTGAGTAAACAATACTTGAACATGTATAGAATAATTATAGAAATTCTTCAAACATGATTGAACCTTCTTTGAAGCATAGTTCAAAGATTTTCAATCACGATTTTAAGTATTTTTTAATAGTATTGAAGCACGATCCAAACTTAGTTTGAAGCATAGTTTGAAGATAATCAATCATAGTTTCAAGCATTTTTGAAAATGATTGGTTATGGTTTCAAGCATTTTTGAAAATGATTGTTTATGATTTCAAGCATCTGCGAATAGGATCAAAGCCCAGTTCAATGTTATTTTGAAACATGGTTTGAAGATGATCGATCATAGTTTCAAATATCTTCAAGCATCTTTGAAGATTATCAAAGCATGATCTGAAGTAGGTTCGAAGCATGTTTTGAAGCATGTTTTGAAAGATATCCAATCATGATTTTCAAGCATC